AGGGCAGTGTCACTGGCCCTCATATGTGGGATCCGAACCGGGGCCCTCTGGCGTCCCAAGCCAGCTCTTAACCAATGCGCCACTTGGCCGGCCCCTGATGGTCTCTCCTTTTATCTTGTATCATGGATGCGAACAGAAATAAACCCCAAAACAGATTACTTGTTCTCTTCATTGTAGTTTGGAAGGTCTGACAATAGTGCCTCTCTCTGTATCAGACACAGTGCTTGCTGAAGAAATTCTTTTTAGAAAATACACTTATGTTTTCAGTTGGACTCAGAAATCTCCACCAATGCCAATTGCCTTCGTACTTTGGGGTAATTTACGACACTCTACTACTGTTTCTCAAAAGCTATTTTGTTTTTTAGTAAATCTCAAAGGATGTTGCTCTGTTCTTAGTAACTTTCTCTATAAAAGGTATAATAAAAGTAAGTACAGTTATTCAAATTCAACAAATAGTTATGGAGTACCTACTATGTGCCTGGCATTGTGCCTAGTGTAGGAGTAAAGCTTGTGCCTGACTTTGTGAATGGCTATTCTATTGGTGTTGTTTGCAACAGAGGCCCCAATAGGTTACAGACTCACTTATGTAGACCTCATTTATTTTACAACTAATATATTCTGCAGTGTGCCACTTCTCTGAAGGGCTATTATCACAATGTTCTTTTTCATGCACCTTTTTCCATCCATTCGTAAGCACTCACAGATATAGGACTCCATTGATTTTTTTCTGCTTGCCCAAGTTCCATTAGTCTTTTATATTTGGATTCTAAAAGATTGGAAACTCTAATAGGCAAATGGCATTGTAGGTAGAAAAAAATTATGCACTTACAGTTATCAGTCAATGGCATTCCAGAAAGATCAAAAGAGCCTGATAATTTTTTCTTGATCTTTGGTTATCATCTTGCCTGTACTTGAAGCCATGAGAAAGGTTTTATTGCTGTTGTTATTGTTGTATGAACAGGTATTTTGGATAATTAGTTGCTTGTGAGTATCAATTAGCAACTTTTGTGACCAGGTTGATGGAGGGTTTCTTAATTCTGAATGCTGCTGTTGGAAGGGTTTTCTAAATTTCTGCCAAGTAATTCTTACATGCACTTGGGCATTCTCAAAGCATTTGGAAATACATTTCACTTGAATATATTTATAAATTGTATTAGTTTTTTTCAGGATAAACTTCAATATAAAAATATCTCCGTATCATGAAAGTAAGTTTCCCCTTTTACTGAGGAAGAAACAAAAAGCAATTGTACTTTAGAGGATAACTTACATATAAAAATTAAATGAATAGTTTTGGCCTAAATCACCTACCTATTCTTAGCTTTGGATTAATTAGTTCAATTATGAACTAAATAGGTTATGAAATACAGTTGGAATATGTCTTAATGTCATGGATCCAGATAATTTTCAACTTATATTTTATTAGAGAAGTATATGTCTTTTTAGTATATATACCAGAGGTACTAAAAAAATAAATACAAGTGGACACTTTGGTCAACATTGCTCAAGCAGTAGTTCGCCATAATCAGAAGTGTCTGGACGCTGATGATAACCACTTTGAGCACCTGTTGTAATTGCAGAAGTCAAACGTGACTTGTATTCATATTTTGTTATTGGTATATATTGAATATTACAATTTTAATAGTTTTTTCCTTTCTTAAAATCTGTATACATTTTT